CGCTACTAGTAACAAGTGCCTTACTAGTAGTAACAAGAAGCTATTAGGAACAAGAAGCTATTTTGGTGTTGCTTCGTGGATCGACTCCCGACTCTGAACGGGATCAACCGTGGAGCTTTGGAGCAGGGGAGGCCCCAAAAGGCCGTGTTTGTTTCACTCAATGGCAAACTATATCAAAGTACTTATCAAACTACATTAGGCCTTTCTTCCCTTTCTTCTTTTTCCTTGCTTCTAATAGCGATGGTCTCCAACCTAATTACTATTCACTACCATAGTTTTGGACAGAGGCCACGTCCCTCCTCAATTTGAACATAGTAGGACGTAGGTCGTAGGTAGGACATCGTAGGACGCGCCCTTGTTCCTAGTAGCGAGGCCAGGAGCCCCGATCGTAGCGTCCGATCGTTCCTAATTTAGTTCTTGTTCCTAATGGCAAACCTTGTTACTACTAGTAAGGCACTTGTTACTAGAAGCGATGCACTTGTTTCTAGTAGCGTTCTTGTTCCTAGTAGCCTCCCTGAAACTTCCAAGACCGACCCCTCTTCCATTCTTTCCTGACTCCTCTTCCTGCTTCAAAGCCTCAGGGCGGATGCATGACGGGTGTATGACATCGGTCCAAAGACATTTCCTGTTGGATCGATGCTTCGGTGTCAATACCTTGTGCACAAGTGGCGCTTTCTTAGAACGATTTTAGCGCTTTCTTAAGGGCATCAGCGGAGGTGGTCCTTGTATCTTCAACAGATTAGGGCCACGAATGAACCTTCACAGACTAAACGCCGGAATCATGGGCGAGCAAAGAACGGACCAGGTGACCGAAGGAGAGAACCGAAGGAGAATTGGTGCTCAGAACCATCGAGGACGTCAACTGTCCAAAGGATTGTCAACAGGATATTTATTGGACATCTAGTAGGATTGTCAACAGCCATGCACCTGCTACTAGTAGGGAAGTCATCCTTTTTGGAGATCCTTTTGGACTTCTTCTTCTCCAGCTTCTGGTTCCGCCGTTTTCGGCTTTCTTCTCTCCAAGCCGCGCCAATCTGCCGCAGCTCCAGCTCCGCTTGTCGCACCTGCCAGGCCTCCGGCGGCGTCGGCGCCTTCGCCAGAAACGCCTCCGGCGCGTAGCCCGCGGCGCGGACCTGGAGAGGCGAAGAACACCAGCGGACCTGGAGTCCCATGAAATGGAGTGCTCCTAGTAGCTCCTAGGAGTCCCATACGGCCAGGAACCCCGTTTGTAGCGTTCTTGCTCCTAGTAGTAAGGCCAGGAGCCCCTAGTATTGAATTGACAAGAGCGCAGGGTATCGAATGATCGTGCATTGTTTTCTGGTTGTTCGTTGGACAAACCTTCGAGGTGCACCACGTTCAGCGCTTTTGGCGGAGCGCTTGGCCTGGAGGACCAAGGTCTCCAGGGGCAATGCTTCGATCTCTGCAGCGGTGGCCTCTGGCAGCTTGTCCTTTTCAGAGCGCAGGGTCAGCATGGACCATCCGAAATTCCCAAACAGCTCCAAATTCATAGACTTGAGACAGGGAAACACGAAAGGTAGAGAGCAGGCTATGAAACTACGCTAACCCCTTTGCTGAGCTAGCTTAGACTGTCAGCTAGCCCTTACCAGGCGACCTTTCGTGATATAGACAATTCGTTAGTGAATCCTCTTGGGAGCGCTCCGCTGCACGTGGTGCGCTGGAGCTTTGGTCTATGATGGTGTGCAACCGCAACTCGATCTGCAGAGTCACTGCGAGCTGCTCAAAGGAAAAACAACCCCTAAATCATGGGCATTGTTGTTGCATTTTTTAGTTATATCCATCCCGGTCAAAGACCTTGGTCTTGGGTAGAAACCCTACACATGTTTGTTCAGGTGAAGATGGCCAACTCTGCTGCATTGGGACCACCACAGGGGCCCTGGCTGGGCTAATTCATTCGGTGCCTGTGAAACGTCAGAGTGCTGACAAGATGCATATGCTTTGCCTTGGCCATGCGTTGGCATGCGCAAAGCACAAGTTGCCTTTGAATGCTTTTGATGTGTCCTCCAATCAAATCTTCCCGAATATTTCACTCTCGCTGTGTCGCCCGTTGGCTTCGCTTCTATGGAAACGCACTTGACACCACGGCGCATCTCTGGTTTTGCACAGCTCTGAGCCGATCTTGGCAACACAGAACCAGCCATGGGGTGTCTTAGAGCCACCCCGTGCTTATAGTTTTCGTGCACTCAGCTACCCACAAAAAACCAAATGCCGCCCAATCCACGTGGCACCAAGCGGAAGCACACGCCCTTCTGCACCCGGCCAGCTCTGCCCCTGCGTTGCTGCAAGGAATCCTCGCAACGAAGGCGCCAAGACACGGCCCCTGGGCGGCCCACACCGAGGGAGGGCACGTGTTTCGGACTGTTTCGGTGTTGGTGTGCCAGCGACCCTTTTTTGCTGGCACGCTTGAGGCGACACGTTTCCGCCTCCGCCATTTTCGGGCCTAATTATGTGACATAGTTAGTTCTGTTCCCCAAAGTGAGGTGCTTTTTGCTTCATCGGTTTGATCAAACTCCCAAACGATCACGCATGCGTTGCGCCGCAGCCCCGGCATCTGCCCAGCCGTCCAGCCGTCCTTAGCGCAAAAGCGTTCCAACAAGGCCGGCGCCAAGGAGCTGTGGCCGTGTTCCCGCGTGAGCCGCCGCTCCCTGCAGGTGTCAATGACCTCGGGCGGCGCACGCCATCGCACGCCTGTCTTCCGCGCTGCGCTCGTCCGTCGCGGCGAACGCGTTGGTTGCAGCTCAGGAGCGATCGTGACGTCAGGCCTGGTGAGACCAGGACAGGAAAACCACGCACGAGCAACATCGCATCGCGTTTGCACATCGCTCTTGAAATTCAATGAAAGAAAACAACACTTGGTCTCATAATCCTCAACAATCATCCAATTGCCATCCTCCTTGCCATTCCACGTTTTTCCAGAAACTCATGGGTTGCCGACTTCACAGCGCTCCAAGGTCCGGACAGCGTCACCGAGGTTTCCGCCACGTTGGTGGCCACCTGGGGCAGAAGGACCCCAGAACGCGTGTGCCGTCCTTTGGTTGAGCCGTTGGTGCTGGGTCCTTTGCTTTTTGAACACTGGGAGGAATGCTCCAAAATGCTCACTTATGCACTGCATCTGACTTCCATTTCATCAGCCGACGGGGATGGTTTTGGAGGTTTCCACATGCTGTCGGCACGGCAGCACATGATCTTTCAAGACGTTTGACCGGCGCTCGTGCCATGAGCTTTCATCCAAGGCGCAATGACCTTGCGCACCTGAAAGGTTTCGAAGCATCGGCGCTGCTGTTCGCCTGCGTGGCCGGTGGCGTGGACTTCGCCGTCGCTTCGGAGAGGAGCCCCGTTCGTAGCATCCTTGCTCCGTTCGTAGCGAGGCCAGGAGCCCCTAATAGCTTCTTGTTCCTAGTAGTAAGGCCAGGAGCCCCGTTCGTAGCGTCCTTTGCTCCTAGTTGGAGAATGGACATAGGCTTTCGGATGAAGTTTTTGGTTGGATGAATTGTGCAAGACCTTTCCGTGCGGAACTCACAATTTGTTGGGGTTTGCATTGACGTTGCTGTGACGACCTACGTAGTCTGGTGTGCTATTGAACTTCTGTGGTGGTTTGCAAAGGGTCAGCTGGATCAGCTGTTGGTTGAGTCTCCAATGTCTCGTCATGTCTCTGGATCAGCTGTTGCCCAAAACACCTGTCACGTTCCGCCACTTGCGGCGCTGTCTCGGCTGTATGTGCTGTCTCGTGGTCCTACATGGTCCTACCTTTCCAGGGTGCCAAGAGCGCTTTTGGGTGCCTGAGAGTGCGCCGTGCAGCGGCAGCGCTTTGAAAGCGGAGCTGCGGCGGGCTAAGGCGTTGATGAGACCTTCGAGGGCGGAGGATTCTAGAACTCTAGGATAAATACGCTGGTGTAAGTTTAAGTGTGTCATGGTTAACTGATGACACAAATGAAGTTGGACAAAAACAAACCGCCATCGCAGGTTGGGTCAAGTCGAGTTCCACCCTATTGATGCCGGGCACAAAGGAGAAAGCACAAGAAACCTCAAGAAACCACATGGGTGTTGGGATGCTCCTGGGACCCCAACCAACGGACACAAACGAAACCACCCATCCAGAATCCAAACCGTCCAAACCGGTGGGGTCTCCCTCCCATTCCTTCCTCCAAGTGTCGGGAGATTTCGCCCGCGCCGGGCATGAAGACCAGAATCGCTCCGTGCGTCGGCCACGAAGCGTCCGCGCCCTGCCGTCATGGGTCGCATCGGGGACCGGTGGTGGGGTGGGGCCGGTGGGGATTGGTAGGGATAAAGCAGTCTAAAAGCAACTGAAGGGGTTGCAACTCACCTTATATGGATGCCTCCTGCTTGCTTTGGATGGTTTCATGAGGTCAAAACATCCGGGTTCTGGGCCTTCCAATGGTCCCAAAACGCCACACCGGCGTTCCTCTTCGCAACGGTGGTCGGTGACCGCGCGCGTTTGCCCGCCACACACAAGAAGAACAGCAACCTATACAGCACCAGGAGCCCCACAAACCATCCAAGTTTTTAGGTTGTTTTCTTCTGTCTGCAAAAACATGGTGTTTGACACGTTTTTGCATGTAAACACCTCTAAAAATCTATTGTTCAATGGGTTTGTATGTTCAATGGGCCACCAGCTGTATGTTCATGCGTGGCCGACGGTCACCTGCAAGGTGCCATCCGCCAGCTTCGTCACGAAGTCCGCTAACACCTGGCAGGTCTTCTGCCCCATAACACATCATGTCGAACAAATGCTATTTAAAGTGCATATTGACTTCTCTCTCTCTCTCTCCCTCTATATATATTATACAAAGTGTTCTGAGAAGATCTGGGACACATGGCTGAAGTATGCTGAAATCTATGCTGAAGTAGGCCTTGGAATACAGCAGCCCAGAATCTCAGTCATTCTTCCCTTCATCAGAACCTGAGTGGAATAACTCCCACTAGTTTAGGCCTCCCACCTCACATGTAAACAGCTGCAGCTAGCAACTAGCAACTCATCCAAGATATATCAAGGGTCGAAGGACGTCGTCTAGGTTCATTTGGGTGGTCTACGTCGTCTACGTCGTCGACGTCGTCTAGGCCCCTTTGTGACGGATTCCTCGGACCGTCCCACCTCATAATTCATGGCCGCCGGCTGCAACGTCGCCGCCCCGTCGCGGGGAGCAGCTGAGCTCCAAGGCATCGTGGAGCCCAGCAGGTCCTCGCGGCGCTGGCGCGGGCCAGGTGGACGAGGGCGCCAAGGGCGGCTCCGGTCAGTTCCTGATGGTCATTATATGTTGTTGACAGTGGTGAAGTGTAGTGAGTGGAGTGAACATGGTAAGGTTCCGAAGCCTAAGCCCCGGAGTACCTCTCCGAAGTTTTTGACTCCTGATGGCAATTGGACTTGGGATGGAGCAAGTCTAGCTAAGACCATGGCTCCGAAACAGCAGTCGGGTCGAGTCTCGGGTATCGGTCCAATCCCACGCCTCCACATCCTCCAAATGAAGCACATCCACCGGGAAGGTGCGCCTGGGCCATTTGGGTGAGGTCCAAAGCATGGAACGGCCATGTGCTTTGCAAAGCCGCCCCGAGCTACACCCGTTAGGTAGTAAATCCATTGCAACTGTCAAAAACCAAGGTTTTCAAAGAAGCATACGTCGCGTCACATCGTCACCATTGGGGATCTATATATATATATATATATCTCCCACCGACATCCCTTTCCTGGAAAACCAGGATCGTTTACAGTGTTCGATGGCTTTTTCATGAGAAGCGTCGGCCTGGTTAGACAAAAAGAGCTTGTCAAATGACACTGGGTCCCTCCGATTGACCCTTGATGAGAGCCGGGGAGATGCATTTTTGCAACGGGCTTTGAAGGATTGCTCGTGCCCCCTTTTCGAAGCACCACGTTCCCACCCGTTTCCGACATGCCGAGGTGCCCGGGGATCTTCAACACGGGCGGGGTTTTGGGGAAGAGTTGGCCCAAACTTTGGATGTCCATGGTGGCGCTCATCAGCAAGACCTGCCGACGACTGGGACATCCGGGAAGAGATCCACATGGAGTTGGAAGAAGCTGGCACCATTTGGAAGACGATTTTCCTCTAGGAACCGAGGTGGTTTTCGGGTTCCATGTGGATCTCTGAACCACGGCGTGCTACCGAGTGACTCTTGGGTACCTGGGTGGGTCCGGCTTTCGGAGAAGCTTGCGACGTGGTTTTGACTGGATTTCACTGATAATTACATTCTATTTATATATAATATATATTTGTTTCTACTAGCTTCTTGTTCCTAGTAGTAAGGCCCTTGTTCCTAGTAGCGATGCCAGGAGCCCCTAGTAGCGTCCGATCGCTCCTGGCACAAAGGTCAGTGGATGCCGGTCACGCCTTGAGCTTGGGTCGCGAGGGCAAGGCATGCCGCAGCAGCGTGAGGACGAAGTCCATGTCCATACTTCGTTCATGGACCTGTGGACAAAGCCCCTTTTTTACAACTGTCCATTCAAGAAGGAACCAGGGGCCCTGAGGTTCTACGATCAGTCTTGCTGCTATATTTCAACTATAGCTCATCATCGAACCGACTTCATCCTACTTCCCTCCACTCATTTTTGGGCATGTTCCCATTCCTTCCTTTTGTGCCCGGTCTCGATCGCCTCATCCAGCACCAGATGCGTCATATCATTGGAGCTGAACATCTCCTCACTCCCCTGGGCGATCAGCCGCCGCAGCAACACGCCCAAGGTGCAGAAGAGGAGTTGGCAGCGCGCAGGGTGCATCTTGGTCTCACCACGGACCATGTACCTTGCTCTCAGGTCTGTGGCAATTTTAATTCTTCAGAGCTCTTCCCAACAGGTAGACTGGTCGTCGTCGGACGCCGCTTCGGCGCACCCCACGGCGTTCTGCCCCAGCTCTTCGCCGCGCTCCTCCGCCACGCGGCGTGCCACGCTGAGCGCCGCGAAGCGGCGGGGCTGGGTGACGACCTCGTGGTGGCAAAGGCAACAAAGGCAGAGGTCAGGAGGAAAAAGACCACTGGTGGGATGAGGAGGTTGAAGGAGTTGTTTTAGCAGGTTCAAGCTAGTTGCATCACCTTCAAAGGTTTTGGAGGAAGGTGATGTTTGGAAATGGTTTTTTTTGAACACATGAGCTCTGGTCGAGATGCATGTATAGTGGAGGATGGTCGAGAATGACTGTGGAGTGAAATCGGCAACAACAATGCGAAATGAATATGACTCTGACTAACTATACAGTCCTTTTTGCTCCAACGACACTCTCTCTCCCTCCCTGCCCCTCACACACACACACACCAGTAGTTGGGCTACTTCGACCAGTCTTCGAAGGCCCTGGGTTCCCCCGGCCACTCGTGCACCACCGGCGGCTTCCACGAGGAATTGACCGATCTGGGTGGTCTTGCCACTGCCCGTCTCCCCGTGGACCAGCACTACCTGAAGGCTCAACTGGCGACGGTCAATGCAAGGTGACCACACTGAAGATGAAAACTCGGATTTTAAAAAACATGTTTAATCTAACATCATTCTCTTGCGTTTGGAGTGTTCGCAACCACTCGCCCACCTGATCTGATGCTAACAGCTTGCTCAGCTCATCCTTCACCTCAGCCACGTTTATTTATAGTTGGTCAATCATCAAGACTTGAAGAGCTCCTTAATTACTCTCCAAGTAATTTTCCAGACTGGTGATGCAATCATGTCTGAATATGTTCTCTTACCTTGCTGCATGTCACACATTCCTCTTCGAGAGCATTCATAAACATAGTGGCATAGTCCTTGTGAGCAAGAATATGGGGAACCAATCTAACAAGCTATAGGACTTTCTTGAAGCAGAATGAGACGTGAGATGGGGCAGCTGAGCAAGATGTAAATCCAACTGCCACCCTTCATTCACAACTGGTGACCATGTTGTTCATGCAACGTGCTCAATGGTTCTAAAGTGATCTAGGAGTGGTCGCTGCCGTTCTTTTTGCACCCTCATTCTCCAGTTCCGTTGGCCAGCAAGCACTTCGCACATATTCTGTTCAATTGCCAGGTTGTGCATTCAGGCTTCCCAATGGCCAACGCTATCCAGATACACGGAAGGCAATCAATTGCCAAGTTAGGAACACCCAACGTCCACCGGCTCCAAAAAAACACCCTCCCTCAACACAAGTGTCGGTGCACAAATCTGGACATGTGCTGAGCGCAGCTGGGTCACCTTAAAGGCTGGCAAAGCCTCACGAACTTTCTTCATCTTTTGTCCCTGAGCACTTTGTTGCCAACTTCCTGTGGGTGCTTCTGCTTTCCTCGGATTGGCGGTGGGCTTTGAAGACCTTGGTGGTGATGGCTCTATATAATCGGTGCATCTAGGCATTGAAAAGGCATTCAATCTTGATCCAAAAATGAGCTCTGGTTGCTGTGTTCGTGCTGTTGCCTTCATTTAGCTTCATACATTCTTGAAGGAGCAAGGACGCTACTAGGAGCTCCTGGCCTTACTACTAGGAACAAGAAGCTACTAGGAGCTCCTGGCCGTACTACTAGGAACGATGTGTGCTATTAGAATGTAAACTAGTCTCCGTCAAATCTC